CCTATGGCGTGCTGATTTATGTGTTGGGAGTGTGTGTGCGTGGTATCTGACGCGCTGCAGTATCCATCTATAAGGGCCGTGAGCTCCTCCTCTCCACATGTGGAAGTGTCCTTGAGCGAGACACTGAAGTTGTTTCTGAGATGCTTTACAGTAGCTCACATCTCCAAATGCTTAGGATGCGTTAAACACAGAGGTTGAGTTTTGCTACGTTGCGCTGTAGACAGTACGATTGTACGTGATGACATAAATTAAGTTTACCTTGTTTTTTTGTATTATTTTTTAAGGTTAAGCCTTTGTGGTTATTTAGGCGTTTAGAAATCTCACACGGTCTGACAACGACTTGGTCTCTATGGCCAACAGCCACTATTTCCGGGGATCGGGTTAGCCAGCGGACTTCCTCTTCTGTGAGCCGGTCAATTGTCCGATTAGTAACTTGAGATGGGGAGTTGTTTCACAAGTAGACAATTTACAAGCTAATAAAAAGCTAAGTCATCGTCGGACAGTAGACAATGAGTTCTGAGATTTCAGCCAAAACTTTCCGCATCTTTTTGCTCTCCATTGGACTGTTTGCCTGCATGCAACCAAAACTCACTCAAACGTGATCGGTCAAAACTACTCGGACCACAAACGGAAACCAGAACGCTCCAGAGACCAAAATCTTGTCCCGTTGTGTACAGATTCGGAATCTGTTCATAGAAGTGAGTGTTAAAGTGGTTAAGGTTAAAGGTTCGATTAGGTTAGGTTAGTCATTCACTCAGCTGTAGTCAAGTAACCTGAATTTATTGGTTATTAAAACTATCCAATGAAATTCCTAGCAGTTGATTAGTTAATAGGCTCTCTGCTTGCTGGTGTCAGTGCTGATGATCTGCCGGTTTCATTTTGCATCATGTTATTTTCAGACGAAAGCTTTCATTCATGGTAACGCACTCTCAGTTTGCGCACTGGGTTGTCGTCGGCGACAGCATCAAAGAGAAACTGCCCACTCTGATATTCATTACAGCAGAATGATTTGGTTTCTGTCCAAGGCTCCGCCAGTCGGTGTCGGGTTCTAGAGTTTCCCCTTCGGCCATATCCTCCCCGTTGCTGCTGCAGCCTCGAGTGGCCTCTCTCCGGCTGAATATCCAAGTCGGCCAAAACCATGGACTGTATATAAGAAGGGGACGTAGTCATGGTGTCGTCACCCATTGCTTTGTGGACTGCTGTTTTGAAGCCTCGAGTTTGTCAATTTTGCTGTCGCCATCTTGGAATACGCCCGCCACTATGTTGTTTTTTTCGCAACCAATGAACAAACGTTACCATATTAGGAATGCAGAGAAGTGATGTAGAGACGCCGTATACGGCTCTGGTAACAGTGATCTGTCAATCACAGTAAGCCCGCCCTATAGCATACTTTATGGTCTATTTGACTCTAAATGGACCATCATTTACTAAATGAACATCATGCTGTATTGAAGAAGACTTGAAACTAGAGATTGAGACCATAAACTCATCTTTACAATGTTTACTGAGGTAATAAATCAAGAGAGAAGTAGAGTCGTTTTCTCATAGACTTCTATACAACCAGAGGAGTCGCCCATTGTCAAAATCCTCGTCCATGACATCCTCTGCACTCATATTTTGGGGCGTCTTTTTCGCTGCTGAAAACTAGTTTGCAATACGAGCGAAGAGAACAAGGACGTTTTTTTAGCAGCATTGTGCCACGAAGCTGAAGTAGCACTCTGAAGTTCTACCTTGCCTCTGAAGACGTCACTGGATGCCGGGAGAACAACAGACTTTGGTGTTGCACCACAGAGAACAGGAACATCGGCAAGAACTGCAGCCGTTTTTTTACACTGTCCCTAACTCCGATAGATGGAGATAAGTTTGAAAATCAGTGAATTTTCCTGTGTTGGCTAAACAGGCTACAGCCTGGTGAGTATTTCTTAGATAATAATCACAAATAAAATGTGATAAATGAGATATTTTCCTCAAATCGTTTTGTCCATGTTGTTATGCATATTTAAGGGTGAAGATACCCACTGGATTTGGCTTCAGCTGAATTTAACAATACATTTTTTGCACAGAATGAGATCCGGATTTTGCCTCCCATCTTTTATAGTGTAGTGGTGTGTGGAAGAGATGGCTTCATGGCCAGTATGGAGAGGAGGAATGATCACAGCTAAACTGATTTCAACAACTTTCAATGTGCGTATTGCATACATGTATATTGTATTATGACAGACTTAAAAACAAACCTATCCCTTAAGGGTAGGCTACATATTCAGGCAACAAATAGAAGTCAATGTTGTTTCCTCTTCAGCGACAAAATGATGTGTGTGAGTGAGTGTGCGTGTGTTCCCCATGGCATTGTGCTCCACAGGAGGGCAGTAAAATCTGTCCCTCAGCAGTCATGATTTTACAGCCCTGATAAACACCGCCCCTCTCTCCCTCTCCCTGCTCCACCTTTTTCTAATAGGACTGTGCATATTTGAAATTTGGATTAAATCCAAAAGCAAACTTTTGACTCCCCTCCCTTGCTCCATCATTTTTGTTTTATCTCCCGCGAACACTCACCTTCTTTAATATAACACACGCTCTCCGTCAAACACAGGGCATTGTTGCTGCTGCTGCTTCAAGTTGACAAATGAGTCCGAGGAAATAGAGTCGTCTAATGGACCAAACTCCTAAAATAAATGGCGTCCTTTCGTAAACCGGCGACAACGGCTTTACAGCTGTGATGGGCTCAGACATCCAAACCTTCAGCCAGACCACGTGTGCACCTCTGACATTTTACATCCTTTAACCCAGATTAGACACTTTTTATTTTTTTAAGTCAAACCCCTTAACAAGCATATAGCAGCTTTCCCAGGCCAAGGTTAAGTTTAGCTTATTGCCGGGTCTCTGACTGCACTGACATATTGCTTTTAAAGCCGACAGGACTCAGACTTCAAAGCACAGCTTTCTCACTTGGGTTGTGTCCTCTTTCTTATCCTGTGTAGTTGTGTTTCTGCCGACACTGCAGAGCTGTTAGGCCTACCCAAACTGAGGAGAACAAACGGCAAATAGAATACGAGTGATCAAATCAACACCAAGGGAAGTGTAAAGCAACAGTTTAGGCTCCAGTGTGTCAGGTCTGGTGAGGCCCCTATGGCTCGCGTGCAAAATACATATTTTAAGCCGAGCGCAAGAAGCATGCAGCGAGGAATCAATACTCTGCAGAAAGTAGTATGCAGGGAGGAATCAAAGCTAAGTATGCAGTAAGAGCTACCATTTCTTTCATACCACTGAGGCGAGGCTGTACCCACTGCTGTGTTTGAACACTAGATTGACAGAATTGGGCTGCTGGATTCGCCAAAAAGTGCTCTGTGCTAAACGTGCAGAGCTCTGTTGTATGCTAATGTCACTGTCTTGAGCAAATAGTGATTAGCTGCAGGTTAAAGATGCTACAGGCACCGTTGGACTCTTTTGAGGGACTGCGTGAACAGTGAAACAACAACAACCTCCTCCTCTGGCTGATGGTAGTTACACCAACACCTACTGTAAGTCTGGGTTACAGAAGCTTCCAAAATATAAAAGAATTGTATTGTAACTATGGGAATGTATTTGGAATTACAAAAAATTTGAAATTAGAAGAACTGGGGACAATGTGGTAATGGAGAAATATTTCTTTTTTAACGGAGGTGGTCACATCATGCTCATTTTCCAGGTTCATACTTGTATTTTGGGTTTCTACTAGAACATGTTTACATGCTTTAATGTTGAAAAACAGATTCTTACACTGTTCGTAACTAGATGTTTTAGCTCCTGTCTTTTTAAGACCCCTTCCTGAAAAAGCCCAAGCTGCTAGCGTGGCTGTAGACTGTTTGTCTTGTTTAATAATTGGCAACAAATCTCAACAATAGTAGAGATGCACCGATACCAATATGCTATATTGGTCTGATACTGACTCAAATAGCTGGATTGGGTATTGGTGACAAAAGTCTGATCTGGTAGTGGATACCATTATTTGAATAAATTACAACTCAGTACATTTATATCTATGAGTTTATTTGTTACATTTTGTTCTACAAAGTTAGGAAAGTAATCTTTAAGTCAAGCCTGATGTTGCCTTACACATGAAAGAATGATCCCGGTCTCTGCCACACAGTCTCTGCCTCACAGTGACGCATACAGATAAATAATGAAACACTGGTATTGGATCAGTTCTCGGCATCGGTCGATACCTAAAGCCCAGGTATCGGTATCAGGACTGAGAAAAGTGAGGTCCATGCATCCCTAATAAAAATAGACCAAAACCAAGAATGAATTGATCCTACTAACAACAGTGTGTGGTTAAAACAGCCATAGAACTCTATTGTTGTCCATAACTATGTGTTGCACTGAATGACATGTTCCTTCATCACCATCAACACACACTGAAGTTTATTTTGACTCAAAATACCTCTGTACCATCTGACAGAAGTACTCACTGGAACACCCGATTAATGCTCTGCTTACAATAGGCCCCAACAATGTATTTGCTTGTGTTAGATGATGAGTAACTTTAGGTCACAGCTATAGGGCCTCGCCGTTTTAGAAAATGGCCGAGCCCTTTCTCTGTCGTAGACGGGAGGGAAATCGGAAGGTATTATTATAAAAGGACCCACAATTTCTTGGTTTGGGGCTTTTGTAATGGAAATTGATCACCAAAAGAAAAATATAGCAACAAACCTGTATAAAACAAACCTGTATAATGTGCAAGATTTCCTTGTTGACACTGCAAATGCAGGATACATGCATTCACATACCTGCACGTATCTAAAAATCAATGTAACTGTGATATTGTACAAGGTGCTGTATTAACAGTCATGTGAATCTGACCAACAAGCTCCATTCGCTCCAGTGCTGCAGCATGTGTGGATGAGCCTGTAAGCATGTTTGACCAACATCTGTATTCTAATTGACTGTGACTTTCTGCTTTTCTGTGTGTGTGTGTGTGTGTGTGTGTGTGTGTGCGCGCATGCGTCTTTGTGTATTTACAGCGTGCTGTGGGAGCCCATGGGGGATGGCAAGCGTGTGATTTCATTGGCTGATAACCATGCACTACTCTGGGACCTGCAGGATAGCTCAACACAGGCCACGGTAACACAGTAACACGCACACACACACTGTAAGCCACAGTACATACACAGGCACGCACACCATATCGCACAATAGCTAACTCATTATTTGATAGCCACCATATCGTCTTTGATTTATCAGGCGCGCACATCCTCTCTGCGACAAAAGAGTGTCCACTATTCATTCTGTCTCTCTCTCTCTCTCTCACACACACACACACACACACACACACACACACACACACACACACACAGTATCTGGGCAGGTTTATAAGATGCAGCCACTTTCATATTATTCTGGCCAAGTCTCTCAACAGTGATAGTAATAGTCTTGTTCAATAAGTAGGAGAAAAGTCATTCACTGGATCTATTTCTTCACAGTCCATTGACCGGTGTCATACATTGTGTTTCACATGAAAATGTAAGAGAGCGGCACTATATGGCCAAATGTGTGGACACTGTAATATATACACGTACAGCGTCGGAAATACACGAGGGCAAAGGGCAAAACTGCCCCTAAGAAATATAATTTTGCCCCTGATATCACTAGGAGAGGGGCAAAAAATGCCCCCGAACTTTCTAAACGAATAAATAAATGGAGCGCTTCTTAATCAGACCTGTGACTGCGAGACTGCGGTCAACTCAGCAGACGCTTAAATTGTAGTGCACCTATATGCTGAAATTCACGGTAAACTCATTCAAACGGCACAGATCGGGAGCGAGCGAAGGACTTTGAAAGTTAGCGGAAAGATTAACGTGAGACAATATCCGGTTTCTTCGGACGAACATCCGGTTTTCAGAATAAGATGCCAACAAAGTATACATATTGCATAATGGAAATTAGATTAAAGTAATTATATTCACATTAAGTATAAAACATGCTACCTGCATCTCGTGAGTTAAAGGGAAAATACACCTAAATTGTGCGTAAAGTGTCTTCATTCTTTGATTTGAGGGTTGCTGGAAATGAATAATACCTGACTGACAGTTAATTAAGATATTTTACTAAGCAAAATCTCTGAACTGAATTTGTACCTTCAAATGGCACATTTTTTTAATTTTTAAGGTGCTATAAAAATGTTTTTCTCAAAAATTCCACACAATGACTAATGCATAAGTTCAGGACGAAAATGGGTAATATCACAATATTTTGAGGTGCTACAAAAATGTTTTTCTCAATAGTTCCATACAATGACTGATGTATATGTAATCAAGGCATCGTTGACTTAATAATTGTTAATAGTTGTTTAAAAAATGTAATAATAACAATAAATAACCACAAATTGAATATGATTGTCTGATTTATGTTTGTTTTTTGTTCAAAAAAATCTAAGAAAACAATTTGAATCTGTAGACTACTGCCTAATAGTCTTATTATTGCCATTTGATGACAATTGCTCATATACTGTAAGCCTAAATAAGTATATTTATTATTTTGAACAATGGTTAAATGTTATTTCACAAGTTTCAAAAAGTGTCCCCAATTTTTTGAAAATGCCCCTGGATTTCAGTCAGTGGGGACAAAAATTGCCCCCAAAAAAATATGTAAATTTCCTACCCTGTACACGTATATGATAGTGAAACGTCTCGTTCCAAAACTGGAGGCATTAATATGCTGCTATCAGTGCCTTTAAAGGAGCTCAGGAACTTAAGCTTAAGTGCTCTCTTTAGGGGTAGTAGGCTACCTTCCACAGGAGTGTGTATGGCTGAGCAATACTATGGCTACTAGAACTTCTGTACAGCTTCATTCAGAATATAAGAAGGTGTTGGGTCTAGTATCAATATCATGTGGAGAGAGAACAGTTCTTGTTGTTTTTTAAAAAGTATAAAACAATGTAATGCTGTCATTTTCCCAGCTAGTTTTGGAAAAATGTGAAATTAAGAGAGAGACTATGGAAGCCCTGAGAGGCAAGTTGGGGAAAAATGTTCTGGTATCCATTTTTCTGATACAAGTCTGATTGAAGTTGTTTTCTCCCTGGTGTTTATGACATGAAGGTTTTGCCAGGATAATCTTTTTAGCTTCCTTAAAAAGTTTTCCCAGGATGAGCTACTTTTTTCCATCAGTGAAAACGTGAGGGGAAAAAAGTTTTACCTTTTTTGTTTTATTGTTTTTGCAAAAATCGTATTCGTTGATGTGTTTGTTGTTGTTATACCAATTTCGGCCACAAGAGGCTGAAGTGCACCACCATCCCATGTTCGAAAAAGGACTAAGAACTTGTATATTATGTATTAAAATTCACCTGGAAGAAAACTTACAAAAACTCTTCTCCACTAATGCATGTACTTGTAAACTAAATTGTAATGTTGTAGATCGTCATCAGCAATTTTAGGCACTTTATATACTTCTGGGTATATTTAATAGCCAATTGTTTTTTTAAAAAGCGTTTCACGTTTTTTAAATTTAAAATCTTCACCTGAAAAGTAACACAGAGTGTCAAATACATATAGTTGTGGAGTAAAAGTGTGACAGGAAACACTGTCAAAAGGCCAAACACAAGCTGTTTTCAGAGAACTGAACTCATTTTACAATGTATTCACACTCAGTCCTGTCTTATTCTTATTATGCAGAAATGCACAGTAATGGCCATTTAAAAAGAGTAAAAATGAATGGAGCACCATTTCACCGGTGTGTGTGTGAGTGCTTCTGGTCAGCTCCCCTGTAGTTGTGTCCTCCCTAATGCAAGGTGAATAGGCTCTTCACTGTGAACTGCCTTGCTCAACCTGCCGGCTTTGCAATTAAAATGCCCATTATGTATTTAAAGACTCAAGATAATGGTGTGTGCGTATGTGTGTGTGTGAGGAAAAAGTAATAGAGCAGTGGTGTGTCAGCCCATGCTTTCGTGTGTGTGTGTGTGTGTGTGTGTGTGTGTGTGTGTGTGTGTGTGTG